GGTTTGGGTTTAGGGCTCAAAATGGGTTTAGGGTTTAGGGTTTTGGGGTCTAGGGGTCTATAGGGGTTTAGGGTTTACGGCTGGGTTTTGAGGAGTTTAGGTGTGTGGAGGTATATAGCCAAGTAGTCTCTATTAAAGAGCTACAAGGGTCCCGATGAAGGGTCCTTCCTAAAGCCCAGCTTAGATATGAACTCCCCAAGCCTTTCTGAGCGCCTAAGTTCCGCAGTCACAAAACCTATCTGAGGTGTACGGCGACGAAGCCGAATACTCCAAGAACCACGACAAGTTCCTAGCATTGGCCCTGGGGTCTCCACTGCATCGGCCAAAAGGTGGCTGAGAAAAATATAGTTTTCGCAGAAATCGTTCTTCGTTGTTCCCGGTGCTGTTGCCTTGCTTAAGGTGTGAATGCTTTTCTGAAGCACTTCCTCTTCTTCATTGTGAGCTCAGCTACTGCCTTGGGCATGCGTACCCTCAGGCCCATACTGGTACGAGCATGCTGGTCCCTCAATGCGGCGTTTATGGCGACCTCTCCCGAGAGACCCTCCTTCGCTGTTACATGCATTAAGGGGGACTGGGCCTGGCATCGATACCTGTTCAAAATGAAGAACTGGTACAACTGGAAGTGTCGCTATGTGTGCCACCGATGCGATGCGACGCAGGATGTGAGGCAAAGTGTCGATCTAGATCTATATTAAAATCATATATGTAGAGACTAATCTAGTATGTGCTGGTACATATTATGTATGAAGTGATCATAAGATCTGGTCTCAGGTATGGGACCCCATACACTGAGTTCCAGCACTCCTTCGTGCAGGTGAGTACGCGTGAGTTCATTCTACATGGCCTTCCTCACCAACCCTGTCCCTGGATAAACCTGGTGGGATTTCATGTAAAGTCCATGTGTCTCGTATGCACTTTTCAGATTCTCTGTTCGTTCATTGAAATCTAGTAGTGTGCGCGTGTCTAGTTTTGACATGCCGCCTTATACGATCCATCGCGATTCCTCTAAGACGCTGGTGTGCGATGCACGCATTGCAGCTGGGGTTGTTCCTCATCGCCAATGCAGAGGCCATCCTGTTCCTGGCTCGTTTGAGTCTGAGGATAGGCGAGACAACTTCGTGGCCAGAAGCTCTCCAGCATCTCTTTAGACATTTTCGATCCTGGTGCCAACTGAACAGGGTGGGATGCTCCCAACGACCTTGGAAGCTGCGCAGCTTCCATTGTGGTGACGACCCGGCAAGGCCTACAGACTTTCCCTGGTTGAACTCCAAGGCCTTCAATAGTCGTTGTGTGCTCGGCTGGGCTGCGGAAACTCGGCTAATAAATGCATCATGTTCCTTTTCTTGTCAGGGCAACCGACAGAAGCTGTTTTCATCCTGGTCCTGTACACAAAAGGATGCATTGAATCGCACCCTGGAGTCTTCATGCATTCGACAACTTGAGGGCGAGTCTCCTGAGGATTTTCGTCAATTTCAACGCACAGCTGAGCTTACGATAGCAACTGTGTTCCCTAGCTGTGCAAATTCGTCTTTTCCTTGCATGCATGTCTACACGTATATGTGCATGTCTTTTGTCGTTTTAGCGTGTCTAGGTGTACTTTGGCGGAGTGGCAAAACATGGTCGAGCGAGCTCCTTTGCTGCTTTCGGAGACGCAAGCGAATGATATATGCGATACCGGGTACCGCTATCTGAATTTCGCACGAATGGCATCCCTGGATGCACTTGACAACAAGACGCTGCACTGGCACGCCACCCCGAAGATGCATGTGCCTAGGCCTCCTAGATATTTTGGGACCCTCGGATTATGGATCTTCTCCCAAGCCCAGCTATAATAGGCGAATGCAAGAAGCCGGAAGCCTTGCCGCCTGCAAACCTCATGAGCCGTAAACCCTAAGCCCTAAGTCACCCCTAAGCCATAATTACCCTAAAACAAGCTTATATAAGGTCTTTCTTGCCCCGCTAAACCCTAAACCCTTAAAGCCCTGAACCCTACACCCTAAACCCTTAAAGCCTTGAACCCTAAACCCTTAAAGCCCCGAACCCTACACCCTAAATACCTTCTGGAGTTCGGTCATCTCCGGCAAGTTCAGGAAGGCCTGGCCACTGTTCGGGTTTGGGGGGTTTAGAGTCTAGGGGTTTAGGGTTTAGGGTTTAGGGGTTTAGGGTTTAGGGTTTGGGGGTTTAGGGCTTAGGGGCTTCGGGTTAAAATCCAGACGGCCGGGCACGAATCTGCAGAATTCAGGGCTCGGGAGGGAAGCGATTATAGGCTTGTCGTCGAATTTACATCAGGTCATGATGGAGTTGAACGACGATATGAAAACCACTCGCTGGAACTGCAGAGGATATCACAACTTCTCCGAAGAGGACCACATGGGAGTATTGAAGGTAGCAGCTCGCAGACATGCAGGCAAATCTTTCGAGCGCAAGATGCTTCGTTCTGCATTGCTGAGGCGCAATTGATTCACATATTCCTGTCAGTCGGGGTCTAAAGGCTAAGATGCGCTTTACACCTGTATATGTTGTCCGGGAATGCTACAACATATTTCTAGCGATGCTACGTACCTCTACCACTAAAAGTGCCGGTGGCACCACCCCCGCCACCACCACCACTACTACCAGCACCCCCACTACCACTGCCACCACATACGACTGCTATAGGTACCACTACTCCTATATATAGCTACTGCTACGACCTGGCCAGGCTAGTCTGGGCCAAGAAGAATGACTGATCGCCAAAGCTCTCCGGCCTTCGGATGTGCAGCCGCCGATCAACATGGCGAAATGGAGCTTGCAGGTTCTTTCCGGGCCCTAAGCCCCAAAAGCCCTTTGCTTAACCCTGCCCAGTAGCAACCTAGGCCTAAGCCCCAAAAGCCCCTGTCTGAGACGAGCTGAAATCCGACTGCCTGATGTTTCCTGCTGGCAGATGCCCTTTGAGGTGGTTTAGGGTTTCAGGGCGTAGGGGTTTATGTTTTGAGGATCTAGGTTTTATCAGGGCTTTAAGCTGGTACCGGTGGCTTTCGAAGTTGAAAAGGGTTAAAGGGTTTTAGTGCGCTTGCATGATCAGGGCTCCGAAAGAGTTTTTAGGGTGTCAGGGTTCATGGCCTTAGAGGGTTTCTTGCTTCGTCGGATTCAT